TTTTACGAATAATAACATTTTTCACATAAATTCAATTATTTTTAAAAAATTTTGAAAAAATTGATTGAAACAATTGAATTACTTTCATAAATAAATAAAATTTTTCACAGAATTTTAATTATTTTTAATATAATTTTAAGTACATTCTTCAAAAAATGTAATTATTTACAAAAATTGTATTAAAATTCTTCGAAAGAATTCAATTATCAATTATATTAAAAAATTCATGCTATAATGTTTTTAATATTTAATTATTATCTATAAAATTTTATCTAAAATTCATTTTTTTAAATCAATTTTTATTGGAAAATTTCTATACGAGAATTCAATTATTTAAATACAAAAATAAATAATTTATTGAATAAATGAATATTTCTCGAAATTGAATTATCATAAAGAATTTTATCAACAAAATTGATTTTTTTCGAAGAATTTTAATAAAATTTTCAAGAATAATTACATTTTTGGAGGAATTTAATTAAAAATGTATTAATTTAAAAATAATTGAAATTCTATGATGAGTTTTAATTATATTCAATGAAAATAATTTAATTCTTCTAAAAAATGTTATTATTTACGAAAATAATTGAATTATTGCAAATAAATTTATAAAAAATTTGAAAATAATTGAAATTTTGCAATAAATTTTATAAAAATTTTTGAAAATAATTGAAATTTTGCAAACAATTTTATTAAAATTTTTGAAAATAATTGAAATTTTGCAAAGAATTTTATTAAAATTTTTGAAAATAATTGAAATTCTATGATGAGTTTTATTATATTCAATGAAAATAATTGAATTCTTCTAAAAAATGTTATTATTTATGAAAATAATTGAATTATTGCAAAGAAATTTATAAAAAAATTTGTAAATACTTGAATTCCTATGAAATTTTTATTATTGTTGAAAATAATTGAAATTTTGCAAAGAATTTTATTAAAAGTTTTGAAAATAATTAAAATTTTGCAAAGAATTTTATTAAAATTTTTGAAAATAATTAAAATTTTGCAAAGAATTTTATTAAAATTTTTGAAAATAATTGAAATTTTGCAAAAAATTTTATTAAAATTTTTGAAAATAATTGAAATTTTGCAAAGAATTTTATTAAAATTTTTGAAAATAATTGAAATTTTGCAAAGAATTTTATTAAAATTTTTGAAAATAATTGAAATTTTGCAAAAAATTTTATTAAAATTTTTGAAAATAATTGAAATTTTGCAAAGAATTTTATTAAAATTTTTGAAAATAATTGAAATTTTGCAAAGAATTTTATTAAAATTTTTGAAAATAATTGAAATTTTGCAAAAAATTTTATTAAAATTTTTGAAATTTTGCAAAGAATTTTATTAAAATTTTTGAAAATAATTGAAATTTTGCAAAGAATTTTATTAAAATTTTTGAAAATAATTGAAATTTTGTAATGAATTTTATTACTTTTGAAAATAATTGAATGTCTGCAATTATTTGTAACTTCTCCAAAATTCAATATTTTTTCCAGTTACTTTAATAAAAATCCCTGACTTTTCCCTGATTTCCCTGACCTGTGGCAACCCTGCTAGACTGTAAGAAACTCGCAAAAGTAAAGAAGGTGTAGAAAAAAAAAAGAAATAAAATTCGTAAGCGGATTTGAGATCTGGAATAAAAAAAAAAAGAAAAGGTAAATTGGCTTTGGACAGTTGTCGGGTTTATAAAGAAAATTGAATTGACCAAAGCCGTCGATTCCGCATTCTTGAGATTTGATAGTCGCCCTCTATCCAATCCTGAAAGCAGATTGCGCTCAATAAATTCGCATCGTTGCTTGTCAACAATTTTCCGCAATGATGCAGGGCATTACAGTACACGGATAACAAGCTGGCACTGGTTCTAACTACTGTCACGTCTGATATATGTGACGGAAAATTGTGGGCAAAGGGTATGCGGTGCGGCCAAGTCCCAGGAAGGCGTGTGTGTGTGTAGGGAATTGAGATCCCTCTCCCGCTAAAGAGGAAGTGGGGGAGTTTATGCAGCACTCAGAGAAAGCATCTATTTTATTTACGAATTATTTCATTTGTCCTAGAGTATTCTAATTGGAACGGCTATTTCTAAGCCGCGCACGACGTGAGCGCCATCTAATTGCATTATGGAAACATGAGTTTCCACAGTACGGGACGAGATATTTCAACCTGGAGTCTAGTCGCATCCTCCAAATTGTTAGCATGAATGCTAAACTTTGCTGCACCTTCTGGATGAAATAAAAAAATCTCTATTCTAAAAAGTGTTCAAACATTAAAACTTCCCAATGTTCGCGAATCCACTTCAACAGCTAAAATTTTCGAAAAGTTGTCAACGGGTTTTCAGATTAGAATTCACTTTCTTTTCCTGGTCAATCTCTTATAATAAACTCAACGGCGAAGTAGAAGAAGAAGACTAACATCGTCGCGACGATTTTATTTATACACCGAATAACCACTCGCGTTTCGTTAAACGTCCGAAAATGAGTGAACGAGAGAGAGAGAGGATAGGGTGGTGAGACGTATTCAGAGAAGAGGGTTGAGATATTTGGCAATTTATTTCGCGTTTTATAACCAAGCGAATATAACGTCCGCTGATTCACGACCAAGTACTAACGCGGATTATTTCAATCTCACTTTCTAAAGTTAGCGCAAAGGATTAAAGCTTCACTTTTGGATCTTTGTCGCGTCGCGCTGAGATTCCAGGAGGTACGCGACAAAGGTTTGTTCAATATTAACGGTAAACAAGAGGGGTGTCGTTGCAGTAATTCGAATGTAGGCGCAGGTGCTTCAAGAAAACATCTATCAAGATGGAACGATATCGAAGTCCGCACGTCACGTTGGTTCAACATATAAGAGGGTCGAAAACAAGAGAGAATAAACCCTACTCCGACACTGAGAATTCTAAGCCAGACTAGAACGCTTTCTATGAGAGTGTTAACCCTTCCATCTTTCCTTAGGATTTAGTGTCCGCCCTTATATGTGTATCTGGAATTTAAGACTAGAGAGAATATAATTATTACTTCCGAATATGCTATTCAACATATGTTATTGCATTCTTTTTATACATAATTATAAAAAATTGAGAATGTAATAAAAATAAATGTTTTATGTTGGTTGCACATATACGAAACGCTCGACCTAATTTTTTACTTTAAATACTTTTTTAGATCTTATTTTTGACGATAAATACTTTATTAGACCTGATTTTTGACATTAAATATTTTTACAGACCTAATTTTTGACGATAAATACTTTATTAGATCTAATTTTTGGCGATAACTACTTTAGTATACCTAATTTTTGTCGATAAATACTTTTCCAAACATAATGGGGATCCTCACAGCCAAACTTGACCAGTAGAGTGCAGCACTACTATAAGATTTTATGGCGCAAAATTTTAAATGTGATTTGTTGCATAATATTAATTAAACAATATAAATGGTTTTTGTTCATGTAAATGAAGAATAAAATCATTAGATCAGAAATATTGTTTATAATAAAGTACGGAAAACTATTTAAAGATGTTGGGAAATTCAAAATTAAAATGTGTTTACAATATTTTTAATAACAGGCAACATAACCTCAATTTTTTTTATCTATACTTTTACGATACTGTGACTTGCAAAACCGTCTTTTTTCCTGTGACACAAATTCCTCACCCAAGTAATTCAATTTTTAACTTTTCACAATTCCAAAAAAAGTATTTATTTACTTCGCCCATTTGTTTGTAAAACAAATATGACTTTTCGCGAAATCAAAAATTAAGCGCTAGACAAATCTTGCTATGGTGCTGCCATCTGAGAATAGCTTTACATATAATGATCCCCATTAATGGCAATTTTTTACCAATAATTATTATTTTATTATTTTTTAAATTATTTTTAGCTTTGACTATTTTGGTAGACCTCATTTTTGGCGACACATTTGTAGACCTAATTCTAGGCTTTACTTTTTCTTGTAGACCTAAGTTCTGAAGATAAATACGTTTATCGCAAAAAATTGGTCTACTAAATTATTAATCGCCAGAAATTAGGTCTGCAAAAAATTAAAGACACAAATTACGCGATACGCTCGCGTTTTGTATATATGTGGAAGAACCAGCATTTAAAAAGCGTGCCGAATTTCCGCGACATATATTCTATTCTAGAATAGTTGTCTATATCGTTTTGCGTGAACTCGCCTTCTGGGCAATTTGTCAGCGAGTGTGATTTATAATTTGTGAAAAAGGCATTAATCTTAAAATTATAAATCCAATGAATTATGCAGCTAGAAAAGAGAAAATTATATGGAACTTGTCAAAAAGCTAACGATGTGAACTCGAAGGAATAAACTACAATGCAGAGAGAGAAGAGAGAAAGAAGAACGAAGATCGTTTTTCGCTTCATAAAACCTTGGCGAACTATCTCAAGAGCTCAAGCGTACGAGCGTAGAAAACCGACGGATGCCTGTCGACGAAGCCGTCGGCCCAGATACGAAAATCGTAAAACTGCTACATAATAGCGACTCAAGAGTAGGTGTATAAGCGTATATAGGCAAAGAGGCACTTATCTTTCAAAGATTAAAGGCGTGTAAAATGCAAACGTAAAGTGCTTAAGATGCGCACTTAATCCTGATTCACGTACTTAAAAAAGCCAACATTGTTCAGAGAAATTTATCAAGTCGCAACAATTGTTTTCTATTATTATGGAAAACATAAGAGGGATCAAAATTGATATGTACAACTCACGAATTAAATCTGTTTATATCAACTTTTTTTTTCTATATATAAATATAAAAAGCTATGATAGTTATAAAAAATAATTTACATATACTTTCTTCTCCTCTCTCCCTCGACAATAAATCTAAAAACTTTTTTTTATAAAATACGCTCCAGGGCAATCAAGTGATTTCGTGAGTGCCATAAATATAAAAAATAATTTCATGTAAATCTTTATCTGCCAATGAATCTCGACAGATTCTAATCAAAAGCATATATATATATATGAAACCGATTACTCTGTACTCACCAGTTGTTAACTTGAAGGATCGTTAGCCCCGTGTCTTGTGCCAGCTGCTTTTTCTGATCTTCCGAGGGATAGGGATGCTGTAATAGAAAAAAAAATAAAGAGAATTAATTATGATTCTTTATATTTAGCAAGAAAGTACATGCCTTTTATTCTCAAAAAAATTGGTTAATTAAATTCATTTTTAACCGTTTTGCTATTTAAATGAAATGCAAAATTGATAAGTATTCTGCGCATCACGCAGTTGAAACTCTTTTTTTTTTTTTTTTTGATGAAAATTCAGGATTTCAGTATTCAGAGAGTAGTATAAATGTATAATACAGGTTAGGTTAGACTGACTGAGGAGGGCGTATAAGCGATGCTTGCCGCATTACAAGCTTTCTGTACCCGGGACACACCTGCGAAATATTATTTATTGCCAGGAAAAAAGTGGTTGGCAAAAAAGTAAACGTACAACAAGGCAAATAGCGGACGTTTGCTCCAATGCATTTTATCGTCTATAAAATTGCAAAAAGTGTTCTATTTTAATAAATCTTCTTATATCGCTAAAAATTACTAATACAAGAGCGCGAGAGAAATTTTCAAAAAATATTCGGCACACTTGTTATTTTTATTATTTTTCTCTTGAATGAAAAATTTAACTCGAAAGTTAAAATAGTATTATAGATGAGGTATGAATTCCGGCAAAAAAAAGAAAAAACAAAAACAGCAACAAACGTAAATTTCGCACACAGAAATCCAAACCACAATATATTTTTGCATAATTAACACGTGTCTTTGGTCGGATTATGTTTCCGTTGACCTTTTGGTAAAACATGTGGTATTTTTGGAAACCGCATTAACGGTTGGATCCATTCCTCCCCTTGACGGTATATCAAGTTTCTTGGAGATGAGCCATCCACCATCGATAGTACTCCTGTCTACAGCTACCGGCTTTTACCGATTAAAGGGTAACCAAATATAACGAAATGCATAAAATTCGTATATATAATATATTTCTTTTGTCAAAGTACAAGGTTGCTACAAAAATTTAATTTTCTTTTTTCCTGACTTCTCCCTGATTTCCAGACAAAAATTATTATAAAACATGAAGAAGTCGATGACTCGGAGTCATCGACTTCTTTATGTTTTATAATAATTGAAGATCATTTCAATTCAATAATTATTTTCTACATTCTTTAACTGAAATTCGTGTATAAATCAATTATTTTTAATAATTTTTAATAAAGTTCTTTTTGAGAATTTTCAAATTCATTTGTTTACAATTCAATTTTATGAAATTTCAATTATTCGGAAATTCATCAATTAAATATACATTAGAAAATAAAAATTTTAAAAAATCTCGATTAAGCATTTTGAAAAAAATTAGTTTTCAAAAATTCAAAATCTGATAAATTTTAAAAAAATTCATTAGCCATATTGGATCCGCCATTTTGAATTTTACTAAACTAAAGTGAAATTCGTATTCAGGGACCCCAAAAATCGCCGAGTAACAAGTGTCAAGTTAATGTGATAAATTTTTAAAAATTCACGCTATATTGCTTTTAATATTCAATTATTATCTAAAATTAACTGAAATTAATTTTTAAATCAATTTTTATTAGAAAATTCAACGAGAATTCAATTATTTAAATACAAAAATATAAATAATTTATTGAATAAATAAATTTTTCTTAAAAATCAATTCCCATGAAGAATTTTATCAACAAATTTTTAAATAATTTAATTCTTTGGACAAATTTTAATATTTTAAAGAATAATTACACTTTTCGAGAAATTTGATTATAATTGTATTAAAAATAATTTAAATTCTTCAATAATTTGTAACTTTTTTTAAATTAAATCTTTTTTTCCTGTTTTTAACTATAATTCTTCTATAAATACATTATTGTTAATAATTTTTGAAAAAGTTTCAAATTCATTTGTTAACAATTCAATTTTACGAAATTTTAATATTATTCGAAAATTCTCCAATTACATTTACATTAAAAAATAAAAACTTGAAATAATTTTTAAAAATTTCGATTAAGCCTTTTGAAAAAAATTAGTTCCATAGAATTATTATAATTAAAAATATGAAAAATTCGGATTTTCAAAGATTTTAATTTGAAACCTTCAAAATTAAATTATTTCTGAAAATTTCAATTATTAGTAACTTATCCAAAATTCAATTATCTAAAACGTAAACTAAAATTAATTTTTACATCAATTTTTATTATATAATTTTACGAGAATTCAATTATTTAAATACAAAAGTAAATTATTTATTGAATAATTCAATGTTTCTTGAAATTGAATTCTTATTAAGATTTTGATTAACAAATCTTTAAATAAATTAAATTCTTTCGCTGAATTTTAATATAATTTTTAAGAATAATAACATTTTTCGAGGAATTCGACTAAATTTTAATGAACAATTATTGAAACTCTGCAATGAGTTTTATTATTTATGAAAAAAATTGAATTATTGCGAAGAATTTTATAAAAAAGTTTCAAACAATTGACTTTTTAAAAAAAAAATTATGAAAATTTTATTTTTAATAATTGAATTCCTGTGAAATTTTCATTATTTTAGAAAATAATTGAATATTCGTGTAGAATTTTGTCAAAATTGTTCTTAAATAATTGAATTCGTTTGGAAAATTTTATTAAAATAATATAATTTTTAAAAATAATTAAATTCTTGTGATGAATATTGTTATTTATGAAAATAATTAACTTCCTCCAAATGATTTTATTATTTCTGAAAATAATTAAATCACTGACAGGAATTTTAAAATTTCTGAAAATAATTGAACTACTGCGAAGAATTTAATACCAAATTTTAAAACATTTGAAATTTTCGAAAAAATTTATGCAAATTCTATTTTAAATTTATGAATTCATTTGAAATTTTTTAAAAAATTTTATTATAACAGTAGAATATTGAAAATCATTGAATTGAGAAAAATTTTTAAAAATAATTGAAAGTTTGCAAAGAACTTTATTAAATTTTTTGAAAATAATTTTATTACTTTTGAAAGTAATTGAATTCTTGCAATGAATACTAGGATTATTTATAAAAAAAAATTGAATTTTGCAAAGAATTTTATTAAAATTCCTGAAAATAATTTAATTTTATATTCATTTATAAGGATAGTTGGAATGTTAAGAACACTTTTTTTTACATTTTTTCAAAATAATTGAATTTCTGCGAAGAGTTCAATTAATTTTGAAAATATTTGATTTCTTGTCAAAAATATTTTTATTTATGAAAATAATTGAATTTTACAAAGAATTTTATAAAAATTCCTGAATATAATTGAATTTGGCGAAGAATTTTCCTATTTATAAAGATATATCTTTATAAATAGGAAGATTCTATTCAAATTCAATTATAATTGAAATGTTGACGAGAATTTTTGTTTGAATTCTTGAAAATAATTGAATTTTTGGAAAGAATTTCGATATTTATTAAGTTCGTTGAATTCTTTTAAAGAATTGCGTTAAAATTTTTAAAATTGAAACTATTTTCAACAGAATTGAAATTAAAATTTTTCACAAAAATACTTTATTAAATGATTCATAAAAGTAAGAACTTTGTTGTAGTTCTTCAATACAATTAAGTTACTTAAAATTAATTATTGTCAAAAATAGAAAAAATTGAAAATTTTTTTAGAATTCGTGGTTGATTTCATAGTTGATGAAACGGACAAAATGACACAAAAATTGGGAATTTTATTATAAATTCTAATCATTTAATTTTTTCCAGTTCTTTTAGTAAAAATAGCTGACTTTTCCCTGAATCCCCTGACCAATTCTACTTTCCCTGACTTTTCCCTGATATCCCTGACCAATTCTACTTTCCCTGTCTTTTTCCTGATTTCCCTGACCTGTAGCAATCCCGAAGTACGTATGTCTCTCTAAATGAAAAAAAAGTGTTTTTAAGCTAGACACAACGATTCCAAATCGTAGTTGAACTTATTGCTGTAAACGACTATAGACGACTTAATCAACCGAAGGGATCTAGACATTCATCACCTGGCCATACTTTGTCTTCGCGCCTTCTTCTATTACAATTTACAAGCTCTTCACTTCAATTAGAAAATATTTAAATGCAGAGAAACAATTAAGCTAGTGAATGATTCTTTTTGCTGATCCCAGTGACGTTTACAGGATCGATGCCCGTAACCGTGACAAGGAAGCAGTAAATTGAGTGCAGCAGGTGCGTGAAACAACGCCCCAGGAACACGGTTGTATTAGCAAGGTTGGAACTGTAAGGCGATGAATTAGAGAACGGAGAATATTGAACATCTCTTTCTTCCTTTAGTGCATTCTCCAACTCTATCTCTCTTGGATCCCAGCCGTTAGGATATGCATAAAACAATCAAGATAATTGTCGAAGCTTCGTGGGGACTGCCTCCGCTCGTGCCACCCTTGCCAGTTGCATTCGTTGTTGAGCAAGGGAGATGAGCTAAAAGGAAAGAGAGAAAGCACGAGCTATCCAATTACATTGAAAACAATAGTCTTAAGTGCTGCCGGCGGCCCGTTTTGGTCTACCCTTGCTTCTCAACCCCAATGCTTTTCCAGAAGGGATCTCGACACTGTCCCTCCTTTCTCACCCTCACTCTCTCTCTCTCTTATAATATCAAGGTGAAATATCAGATCGATGAAACAACTAGTGGGCCATGCTATTACTATTCGATTCATTATTCTTTAGGATTTGTTATCGTAAGTGGTTCTTCAAAAACATGTAAGGAAGAAATTAACCCATTTGAAAAGTAAACTAGGAGAAACAAGTGATAAAATGGAAATGAGCGTTAAAGAGGCTGTATGAGAACCATTCGGACCTAAGGAAGGGAGTTGAAACGATCCAAGCGGAAGCGAACCTAAGTGTGTAAATGAGTTCATAGTTTAGTCCGATTGCTCTGAGACGATCCTTTCATGGTACCATGTCTAAGCATCTACTTCAAACCAAAATCCGCTTCCCCTTGAAAGCAATGGATCGGCGTTAATTGGATTCAGTCATCCAGGACTCTTTGACGATTGCCAACAGTCCATTTTAACGCAATCTTATATTGTCACGTTGAAGATTATACTG